CAAAAAATTAGCTGGGCATGGTGATGTGTGCCTGTAATCCCAGTTACTCAGGAGGCTGAGGCAGGAGAATTGCCTGAACCCAGGAGGCGGAGGTTGCGGTGAGCCGAGATCGCGCCATTGACTCCAACCTGGGTAACATGAGTGAAACTCCGTCTCAAAAAAAAAAACCAGCTCTTTTACACTGATTCCAAAGGAACCCACTTCATTAATATTTTCACAGAAAAACTGTTTGCTTTCATTTACACAGTCACTACCATGCCTCCTATAGGAGGAAAGAGGAACTGTTATGAGATTAAATATTGTCCTCAAGGCTCAGTGCTTGGCCACATTTTATCTTATTTGCTCTGGAATCTGCTTAAAATCAGGGGTTGCTTGTCTTCCTCATCTTGTATTTCTAGCTTTAAGTGCTGAATTATGTTTGTTACTGTTTTGTTACTTTTAAGTTCCTTCTTAACCAAGAACTTGGGACCTCTCATTTAGAAATGCTTCAACAGTATACTAACAAAATAATTGTTTTTGTAGCTTTTCTTTCTATAGTAACAATCAGACAAAAGTCTCTTCACCTGGGTACATTTACAAAACTGTAAAATTGACAGAAAAAACAGTGAGCTTTCATGTTTTTGGATTCTACAATGTGAAATGCTCACTAGTTTTTCCTTTACCGAAAAAGCTCATACCTGTAATCTCAACACCGGAGGCTGGGGCCAAACGATCACTTGAGGCCCTGAACTCGAGACTAGCCTAGACAACACAGACTTCATCTGCACAAAAAGAAAAAAAATTAGGCATGTTGGCGTGCACCTGTAGTCCTAGCTACTCAGGTGGCTGGGGCAGGAGGATCACTTGAGCCCAGGAATTGGAGGCTGCAGTGAGAAAAACTGACTATGCCACTGCACTCCGGCTTTACAGGGAATCCTTGTCTCTAAACAAATAAAAAGTTTTGGCCAGGTGCAGTGGCTCACAACCGTAATCCCAGCACTTTGAGAGGCCAAGGCATCACTTGAGATCAGGTGTTCAAAGCCAAACAAGGCAACCTGGTGAAATCCTTCCTTTACAAAAATTAGCTGGTTGTGTTGGCATGTGCCTGTAGTCCCAACTACTCGGGAGGCTGAGGTGGGAAGATGACTTGAGCCCAGGAGGCAGAGGTTGCAGTGACTTGAGATCTTGCCACTGCACTCCAGCCTGGGTGACAGAGCCAGACCCTAATTCAAAAAATAACACTTGAATGCATATAAAACTACTTGTTATTAGTGGTTATTATTTGATGCTGCAATGCTAGACCATAAATTAGAATCTCATATATACTTCTCTAGACAACCACCTGCAGGGAAGACTGACGTAATTACTATGGGCAAAATAGACTACGTGATCTCTAAAGTGCTTTCCACATATTACTTCTACTGAGAATCTTCCTATTTCCCCTTTCCTCTCAAAGTTAGCTCATCACAATTGATAATATAGTACTTTGTACTTATGTCTAATGATGTTCCTGAACTCGTTTTTATTTTTGGGCCACCACTAGATGATCAGCTACCTGAGGGTTTTTTTTTTTTTCTGAGATGGAGTTTTGCTCTTGGTGCTCAGGCTGGAGTGCAGTGGCACAATCTTGGCTCACTGCAACCTCCGCCTCCTGGGTTCAAGTGATTCTCCTGCCTCAGCCTCCTGAGTACCTGGGATTTCAGGTGCATGCAACCATATCTGGCTAATTTTTTGTGTTTTTAGTAGTGATGGGGTTTCTTTTCCCTTTGTTTTCTTTTATAGAGATGGGGTTTCACCATGTTGGCCAAGATGGTCTCGATCTCTTGACCTTGTGATCCACCGGCCTCAGCCAAGTGCTGGGATTACAGGCATGAGCCACCACGCCTAGCCTTAGGAGGCTCTTGTATATCCATTTCACATTCACTTAGCCTACAACATAAACAGCACACATGAAGTATGTAATAAATGTTCACTCTGTGTACATATACACATACATATATATATATATATATATATATATATATATATATATATATCTGCAAGAGAAATTCTAATGAGCTAATCATAGTAAAGTTACCCATTTAAGAATGCCCATGTCTTCAATACCATGAGCTTCAATGGCAACTGTTGAGTATATACCAAAAATAGAGGATTTGGCTGCTTAATAATTCAGCACCAGTTCTGTACATGAGAATCTAAGTCATCAATCCAACTAACATGATGTGGCAAGAATAGACAGACTGCCAGGGATGGTGGCTCACACCTGTAATCCCAGCACTTTGGGAGGCCGAGGCGGGCAGACTACCAGGTCAGATCAAGACCATCCCGGCTAACATGGTTAAACACCATCTCTACCAAAACTACAAAAAATTAGCCAGGCGTGGTGGCACATGCCTGTAGTCCCAGTTACTCGGGAGGCTGAGGCAGGAGAATCACTTGAACCCGGGGGGCGGAGGTTGCATTGAGCGGAGATTGAGCCACTGCACTCCAGCCTGGGCGACACAGCAAGACTCCATCTCAAAAACAAAACAACAAAAAAACATGAGTATACAGACTCAGGAGTATCATTTAATTCAAACAACAGGGCTTGAAAAAGAATTTTTATTTGTTTTGTTTATAGAAATTGTTTTCCTGGGTATATTAGACTGCCATTCTTTAATATGGCCTTCATGACTCAAGTAATGAAATGCAAAGATTCTGTCAATTAAAAATGAAAATGCAACCATTCAAATGCAAATAAATTAACATAAATATCAGCATGTTACCATCATCACATTTTTTAAAAATCTGTCAGTTGATCAAAAAGTTAAGTTCACTTTGATCTACAGTGTGATTGCTACATTAATAGTTCCTGGGTTTGCTATGTAACTGCCTGTTTTCTTCTTGACACCTAGACTGTTTCTTTGGCGGCTTCAGATTCTTTCTCATACCTTCATCTCCAGTGACATTCACAAATCAATTCCTCATCATCTTTCGTTGAGCAAAACTATTTCTCAATTTCATACTTAGCAGAAGACTGAAATACAATCCAGAGAAGTTTGTAATCAATTTTACATGAAACCTTTCAGCTTTTTTTTGGGTATAAACTGGGGACATTCATAAAACTTGTTAGAAATAGTTGGGAAAATAGCCGGGCGCGGTGGCTCACGCCTGTAATCCCAGCACTTTGGGAGGCCGAGGTGGGTAAATCACGAGGTCAAGAGATCGAGACCATCCTGGTCAACATGGTGAAACCCCGTCTCTACTAAAAATACAAAAAAATTAGCTGCGCATGGTGGTGTGTGCCTGTAGTCCCAGCTACTCAGGAGGCTGAGGCAGGAGAATTGCCTGAACCCAGGAGGCGGAGGTTGCGGTCAGCCAAGATCGCGCCATTGTACTCCAGCCTGGGTAACAAGAGCGAAACTCCGTCTGGGGGTGGAAAAAAAAAAAAAAAACAGTTGAGAAAATAAGCCTCAACATTGTATACCAGCTTACATGTATTTGCATTAAATTCACTCCATAAGGAGACAAAAATGATAGTGTCTAGTTCAATTTGGCTCTCAAGCTAAATGTTTTTTCTACTGTATCTAGTATTCATGCCAGATTAACACCTGAAACAGCACTCTTCACAAAATAATTAGCTCACACTTGGTTTATAGGAAAGTGCTGTAAGATCCAGGATAAGTAATAACAAAGTTTATCTATGGAAAAAATCTTCAGGGCTGGCTGGGAATAAAGCCTAGAATATTGGGGTTTTCTTAGGCATAATTTTGGAGGATTACATTATGTTCCTAATCATGTATATTTGCCTCAAAAAATGTTTCCTTTAAAATCTACTTAAAGGAAAATTCAGCTGCATTTATGTAGTCTGTTAGGATAAAATAATACTGAACAGACACCTTAAAGTGCTAATCAAAATGTAGTCCTTGGATCATAACAAGGACTGGCAATAACATTAGCTGGGAGCTGTGTAGAAATGCAAAGCCTGTGACGCCACCCCAGCCTTGCTACTTCAGAGTCTCTGTTTCTACAAGCACTCCGCAGGTGATTTGGGGGTCACATCAAAGTTAGAGAAAAACTTCAAACTTACCTTTCCTCCTTGTAAACACACAAACATAGTTTATTCTCTTTTTAGGGACAAATAATGAAAAGTAGTTTTCTAATTGCCTGATCAAGACTAGTTGTTAAGATTTTCATGCTCTTGGCTGGGTGTGGCGGCTCACACCTGTACCCCCAACGCTTTGGGAGGCCCAGGTGGATGGATCACCTGAGGCGAGGAGTTTGAGACCAGCCTGGGGACATGGTGAAACCCCATCTCTACTAAAACAAAAAATTAGCTGGGCATGGTGACAGGCGCCTGTGTAATGCTAGCCACTCAGGAGGCTGAGGCAGGAGAACTGCATAAATCTGGGAGGCCGGGGTTTCAATGAGCCATTGAACTCCATCCTGGGTGAAATCCCGTCTCCAGGAAAAAAAAAGACTTTCATGCTCTTTATATAACGATTCACTTTGAAAAGGAAAAATGAATTCATACTGTATAAGGTTTTCAAACTAAGTAGTTATAGTAAAATTAACCCACAAAGTTCAAACAACTTGACAGAAATTTCTTGTGTATTTTCAGGCACTAGAATATGCCTATTTAATGTTTAAGTTTTTATATATCTACAATTCTAAAAAACAGGCAACTCTGACAATCTAAAGGCTTTTACTGAAGCTTGGTCACAAAACATGATTTACACTGGCATTAAGTGATTAACAGTCTCTACCCCACTTAACTGTAGCAATTTTCACTCTGCAGCAGAAATTTTAATACATAAACTTGCACAAACTCATATGTTTAGTAGAGGTCCTACCATAAACCTCACTGGAGATGTTATGCAGTACATAGTATACCTCCCTAAGGGTTTCAGATTAAGAGATGCGCTTTGTTTTTAGAGTGGTCCTTTAGGATAAGTTTAGTTGACAGAGCAGGAGAAGAAACCAAGGAAAGGAAATCAAATCTACCTGAATAAATCTTCATGTTAGTAGTGGCTAAATAAAAACAACATAATACGATGCCTTAGAAACAGTAATTGTAGTATGTTAAAAAAAAAAAAGACACAATAAATTGCTCAAACAAGATCTTAGTTTGGGGGTGTGTCTGAGAAAAGGCTGAAAAAGAAACTTGAAAACGGCAAGGGGCATATTTCCCGAAATTTTCCCTCGAGAAACCAGAATTTAAAATATAATAAAAAGAGGTATTTCCGCAGATATATAGTAGATCCATCAAAAATAATGCAAATGGCTTCCTTGACCTTTAGATACCAATAGTCATAAAAATTATGTCCATAAAAAAACTCAGCCCATATTTCTATGTTTTCTAGTATGCACCACACAAGTATAACACGATGCCATTTATTTACATGATTCTGAAAGAATATGAGTCCCCAGGATCAAATATATACATTTTTAATATTTGAAATATTTACATAATGGAACCATGTCAGGGTTCAAGTGTAAGAACAGTTTTTTCAAATGTCCTCTCAAGGTGTTTAAAAAAAAATCCAGTAATTCAAAGCTCACATTATGCTTTTCTAACAGGCCAATCTTTACCCTTCTTTTAAATAAGTACTCAGACAGGGGAACAGTTACAACTAATTTGTGTGAAAAGCTGTTTGAAACTTGTTACATTTTCAGGTAATTTTGCTCCCTGGTGAAATTCTGATCTACAACAAAGAGAGTCCCAGGAATTTCTCTGAGCACATCATGAGTACGTTTTTAAACACTAATGAGCCAAGGCAAAACAAGATATAAACCTTCTACAGGATAAAAATGAAACAAAAAAATTAGTGGTTGGTAATTACCTTGATGATTTACCTTTATCCTTAAATAAGATGTAAATATAACTTGTAAGTTGCCAAGCAGAATACCTATCATGTTTGTAAAACTCTCATTGTCTGTCAATTTGCCTAGTTTCATTTTTTGTTTTGTTCTAAATGGGGTTTTCACTTATACTTTTGAAATGAATTTTTTGTTAAATAAAGGGATATAATTAAACTAAGGACCAATTAGTGCAAAAATGCATTAAATACAACTCTCCAGGATTTTAGGGTATGCCTCATTTCTGAGCAATAAAATTAAAGGGGAAAATCACTATGATCCATATTCCTTTAAAAGAGAAACTGAAGCAGACAGCTTATTAATATGGAAACCCCATCCAGTTAGCAGACTGTTGCTCACGACACCAGAATACCATGCTATGAGAAACTAACAACCTAATTATGCCAGACATTTTGGGTTCGAACAATGTAACTTTTCCTTTACAATTCTGTTAGTTAGGAAATGTTTTAAGGACCCCACCAAAGCAAATTAGGGAAAAGAAAGACTTTTACACATACATTCATAGAACACATTCATACAGAAATACAGTAGAAATGGATTGTCTGCTAATTTTTGCATTCTAATTTTAAACTCCATGCCTTCACAAGGGCTTGCCATTTCTGATCAAAAGAGAGTGGGGGTGGTAATAGATGTGACTGGTGTTTTCAATTAAAATTGTTCATGTTGGTTCCTATACAGTACATTTCAATATTAAGTGCAATTCTGCAAAAGAATTGGGGAGTCGTTTTAATATTTACAAGGAACAAATCAGCAGAACAAGATTATGTCAGATAGGCTGTATACAGTAGCTGCGGCTTATAAAACATACCAGTAATTTGTACCTGGTGAGTATAAAGAGAACCAAGGATTCAGATGACTTTACAACCAAGGGAGTACACAGGGCAACAAATTAGAGGACAAAAAAATTCACATTTTCTACAATAAAAAAAAATTACAGCTCTCACAATGTCTTCAAAGACAAAGAAAAATTCGAAGTCCTTAAAAGGGTGGTGAAGAAGATATCTGAAATGGAACACTCTAAATATAAAAAGTTTTACTTCACAAGACCAATTTTCTTGGCTTCTGTTTCATATATCAATAATCTCCACATTTTGACTATAAAAACTTCTGCTTCTTCATCAAGTACCTAAAGAGGAAACAAAACAGCAACACATGTAAGAGAAGCAATCATCATCATCTCCCAACAACAGTGACTAGTAGAAGAGTTTTTCATCCACTGACAATAAGCACTTATTACTTAAATGCTAGTTAGGATTTTAAGGTTGTTTTGGCGGGGTGGCGGGGGGCGGGGTAATATATGAGATTCTGTATTGTTATTATATAGTTATATATAATATCTATATATATATAGTTATTATATAGTTATATATAATATCTAGTTCTTCCTAAATTACTATGTTCTTTATAACAAATATTTGTTTTCTTTAGGAAGTTTAATTTTCACTAAAATGACTTAAAGAAAATTTTCCTAGTGTGAGAACTGTATTATTAATAAATATAGGCCGGACGTGGTGGCTCATGCCTGTAATCCAAGCACTTTGGAAGCCAAGGTGGGCGGATCACCTGGGGTCGGGAGTTCAAGACCAGCTTGACCAACACGGTGAAACCCCGTCTTAAAATAAATAAATAAACAAATAAATATGAGCCGGGGGCGGTGGCTCACACCTGTAATCCCAGCACTTTGAGAGGTGGAGGTGGGTGGATCACCTGAAGTCAGGAGTTTGAGACCAGCCTGGACAACACTTCGGGTGAAACCCCATCTCTACTAAAAAGTACAAAAATTAGCTGGGATATGGTGGGGAGTGCCTGTAATCCCAGCTACTCGGAAAGCTGAGGTGGGAGAATCGTTTGAACCCAGGAGGTGGGAGTTGCAGTGGGCTGAGATCGTGCCATCGCACTCTAGTCTGGGCAACAAGAGCAGAACGCCAACTCAAAATAAATAAATGGGCTGGGTGCAGTGGCTCACACCTGTAATCCCAGCACTTTGGAAGGACGGCGAGGGGCGGATCACCTGAGGTCAAGAGTTCGAGACCAACCTGACCAACATGGAGAAACTACATCTCTACTAAAGGTACAAAAATTGGCCAGGGGTGGTGGCACATGCCTGTAGTCCCAGCTACTTGGGAGGCTGAGGCAGGAGAATCGCTTGAACCCAGGAGGCGGAGGTTGTGGTGAGCCGAGATTGCGCCATTGCACTCCAGCCTGGGCAACAGGGGCAAGACTCCATCTCAAAAATAAACGGATGGATGGATGGATAGTAAATTACCAAGAGCAAAAAAATTCAAAATTCCATGGCTTACTAAACATAAACACTACAATATTTTTGTGATCTGCCTTTTATTCTTTTACCTTTACAGATACTGCATTTACACATGTCTGACAAAACTAGTTCCTAAGGAAATCATATACTTTTCATAAAAAACATAGTAATTTATGAAGAACTAAATAAATATACAATTACATAGTAACAATACAGCATCTCATTTATCCCCAAAAACACAACTTCACAAACTTTTTTTTTTTTCCTGGAGACAGGATCTCTCATCACCCAGCCTGGAGGGCAGTGATATGATCATGGTGACTGCAGCCTTGACCACCCAGGCTCAAGTGATGTTCACACCTCAGCCTAGCCAGTAGCTGGGACTACAGGTACACACCGCTACTCCTGGCTAAAATTTGGGCTTTTTTAGTAGAGATAGGGTCTCACTATGTTGCCCGAGCTGGTCTCAAACTCCTGGGCTCAAGCAACCTGCGCACCTCAGACTGCCAAAGTGCTGAAATTACAGGTGTGAGCTGCTGTGCACAGCCCAACCATACCATATTAACCAGCATTTATTGTGTATGTGACACTAAAGTAAACATTAAATAAGAATGTCAGTATTTAGTAAACAGAATAAGCAAATGCAATCATCATCACAGGGCACACGTGACGACTGAATACCAAGTCTTTTTACAGTGACAGGAGAATAAATTGTCTTCCTCTCTACTTATGAGTTAGGTTCCTTGTGTCCCCACCACTATTCCTGCCCTCATCCCACACACATCTGGCCCTCTACATTAGGACTGCTGTGAGGTGAAATGGAATACCTTGCTCCCTTCTAAAGGGGACAGCTATGACTATGCTCCAGGGTATCTTTGTCTTGACAAAATGTGGTCCAGTGTTCCCAGGTCTTCGTAGAGGCAGTTTAGGGTAGGAATTTAGAGTACGCAATATCTAGTCAGACTACATAGGTTCAAATTGCACTTCTTCTATCTCTTACGAGCTATAGGTCCTTGGCTGGGCTACTTAACCTGAGCCTCAGTTCCCTCATCTGTAAAGTGGAGGGGACACAGCAACACCACAGCAGTAGGTACTAAGTGGAAATTAAAAGAGTTGTTATGTAGTTAAGTGCTCTGAAGAGTGTCTGGTATATAACAAGCGCTTAGTAAGTATCTAGAAGGCTGGGCATAATGACTTAGTAATCCCAGCACTTTGGGAGGCCTAGGTGGGTTAATGACCTGAGGTCAGGAATTTGAGACCAGCCTGGCCAACATGGTGAAACCCCATCTCTACTAAAAATACAAAAATTAGCCAGGTGTGGCGGTGCATGCTTGTAATACTATGCACAGAGGCTGCAGTGAGCCAAGATTGGGCCACTGCACTCCAGCCTAGGCGACACAGGAAGACTCCCTCTCAAAAAAAATAAATAAATAAATAAATAAATAAAAAATAAAATAATAAATAAGTCGGCCGGGCGCGGTGGCTCACGCCTGTAATCCTAGCACTTTGGGAGGCCGAGGCAGGTGGATCACAAGGTTAAGAGATCGAGACCATCCTGGTCAACATGGTGAAACCCCGTCTCTA